ATTGGAATCAAAGTAAAGGTATGAAATTCTCCTTGGACTCTGGCCACATTGTTATTAGTCTCATTGTCTATTCTCCCATTTAGTATCTTTTGGTTGTTGTTGTACTTTCACACTGACAATGACAGAGGATACAGACAGTATACTTTCTTTTTTTTAAACAATGATTTATTGATTTTTTTGGAACAACACAAACGGCAACAAATCAGCACAACCAAATACAAATAAGAAAAAGAGATGAAAAAAAAAAACAAATACAGGTACATGAGTTACAGATGTACATGTCTGGGTCAAAATATGTACAGTGTTTCACATTTGAAGTCAAGGGAAAGAAAAAAAAGTGGGGGAGAGAAAAAAAATACAGACATTAAATATTGCGTTTAAAAACAAAATGTGATCCCCCTTTATGTAATAGCACAGCAAGGTCACGAGGTTGATGATCAAGCAAAGACATATCCTACAGAATGCATCACAATTGCCCTTTATGATGGCACTAAGGCACTCCATTGGCAGCACCTTGAACATTTCTCTGTACCATTGTGTAACAGTGGGGGGCTGTCTCTGAATCCATTGAAACAGTACACATTGCCTCGCTAAATGTAAAAGTTTACCTAACAAAAGCATCTGTACAGAAGACAGAGAGAGCCCTTCTATAGACAGACCCAGAACGAACAGCACAGGGTTCAGTGGGATCTGGTGAAAGATTGAGCGAAGCTCTATAGCAATATTTTTCCAAAATCTAGTAATTAAAGGACATTGCCATATGCAATGGTAGTAGGTCCCCACATCCGTATTGCACTTTACACAAAATGGAGAAATCTGAGGATGAATTTTATTTAGAAACTCTGGCGTACGCTGCAGTCTGTGTAAGATTCTGTAATGGCTTTCCTGGAGTCTGTTACACGAAAACAATTTCTTGGCACATCTAAAAGTTTTGGACCATGCTTCTGCACTAAGCTGAACTTCGAGGTCGGTTTCCCACCAAACCCTGGCCTTATCAGTGGTTACAAAATTCAAAGACAATAATTTCCCATATCAAAGAGATAAATTTCTTTTTTGTGATTATTTCCTCATTAAATTTAAGAAGAAAGCTTTCAATAGGATTCAAAACAAGTTGATTGGCTGGAAATTTAAGGGAATTTACAAAATGCATTACTTGCAGGAACCCAAAGAAGTGTTTCTGTGGTAAATTATATTTAATTTGAATTTGATTAAAGGCCATAAAACTACCCCTTTCAAACAGATCGCAAATAAATCTTATATTTTTAGAACGCTCAATCATCAAATATACTAATGCCAATACCTGGAGGGAAAGCTTTATTCCTAATTAGAGGCTGTAGACAGGATACTTTTATGTTTTGTTGACTGCCAATTTTACTTGGATTCAAAAGTTACCTGGGTGCCATTATTGATTCTACAGATTTTAAGATCCAGTACACATAGTAAAAAACTTGATGCAGAACCTGAGTATCCAAAATAGAAACATGTTCTCTTATACTTTAATCTCTGCATGTATTCACTGATTATCTGTCCATGCAGCTGTCTGCTGAGAACCAGGAGATCTGGGAGGAGTCTGTTCATTGTCTGTCACTGCTGGTCCAACTTTACTGTGGAGAGGGTCCTGACTGCCTGTCGCCTTCCTGCTTACGAAGCTTCTCGCATGTGCTGCGCACTCGCATGCACACTGAGACCCCCCGAACACAACGTACAGCTCTTAAAATTATTAAACGACTAGTAAGTAAACATCCACACAGACGGACAATCAGAAAAGCTTAACTGAACACACTGACATTTTCACATACACACGCTCATCAGAGCTCATGAACATTTTATTGGACGTATATTTTGTGTTCCATTTGTGTTGAACCTTGGTTCTATATTTGTAATTTGAGAGCCCTGCAGATTTAACATATTGGAATTATAGACACATAATTCTATATATATATTCTATTATGTGTATAAATTATACAAACACAAGAGTCAGTTCTACTGTGCTGCTGTTCTGAAAATAACGTGTACTTTCACCCAAACGAGACTGACAGAGAGAGCAAGGCAGAGAGGGAAAAATGTTGGGCTTCTATCTGCCTGTCACTCTGTTCAAGTGTCTGTCCAATTTTGTCTCACAGTCAGAATGACTACTACAGACCAAAGCTAGCCTGTAGTACCGTGTACTGCAGTAAAACACATTGAAATTTAGTAAGGCTAAGGCTCCCCAGACAAAACAGAAACATTATTTTAATCTGGTAGCAGTGGGAAGGACTGAGCAGCTGCAGCTGGCATTCAGGATTTAACAAGGTGACAGTTTCTTAACCCTGACAAACAATAGCAACATTTTATGTGTCTAAAACAATTTAATATTAATAGGAACATGCTGTGAATTGAGTGAAAATGTTGGCCCACCTCCTGATAATTTTGAATTTAAAACCTTGTTAAAATGTTAACTAAACTGCCAGTAAAATATTGTCTGACTAAGGCAGATAGTTGTGCAGTAGTTAGATATTTGGTAGACATCTTACATGCTTTGCTAGCAAATGAGTTCACATTGAATGTTTTTGTGTTAAAAGATTTAAGCCCAGTGCCAGCCCTCGTGGCCAAGTAGTTTACTGTTCATGTGACATAGCCGCAACCCGGGTTTGATTACTTTCTCAGTTCAACCTCACCTTTTTACCCATAAAAGGCTGATGGAGTATTGTCTTCACCCTGCCAGGTGGGTGGACGGTGTGGACACCCAAGTTTGTGAATACAATGCAAACTTGAGAACGAAGTAATGGAGCACTTTCAGATTGATACCATAAGTGCATCTACTAAAAATCTCTGACAAGTTGGAATCTCAGTGACTTTGAACTCAAGGTCAGGGGTCAGAGGTCAAGTGTTCCGAAAATCTTCTGAATGTGAAACAACGTAGGAGTTTCAAATTGACACCTTAGGTGTATCTACTAGGAGGCTGAGGGGTATCACTGACTGCCATCGTTATTTTTAAACCATGATGTCAGCATTTTCTGGACATTAATTGCGTTGTTCTAGTTGTCGAAACTTAACCATACTTAAGAATAAGTTATTTAAGTGTGTTGATATTGGATTTTTAATCAATCTGGTCTCTGAATTCTCTCTAGTCTCTGGTCACCCACTGAATTTAATTTAATTCACTGAATACATATCTTTTTAGAGCTTAATGCTAAAAAAAAAAAAAGAGGCAGGGTTGGTGAGTCGGTCCAGCATAAATGCATTTTAGGAAATCAACATGAAGTTAGAAAAAATAGCTGAATGTTCAGCAGAACCCTATGAATTATGTAAAATGCATTTCTAATGTTTTGGCTTGGCCGCAGGGTCATGAGATTCTGCATGTGTGATACAAGGTCAGCTGTCACCCTGAGATCACATGATCTGACTGAAGGCTGTGCCTGGAAGCTACCTTGTGTGTGCATGTGTGTGTGTGTGTGTGTGTGTGTGTGTGTGTGTG